GAGTTGTGCAGATAGGGTGCCGCTATGATTCTCTGCTTTCATCCTCATTTCCCAGGCCTTTTCCACCAATGACCTCAGGGCATAGCTCCCCCTCTCTTCTGGAATATGCTCATTTTCAGATATTTGAGACGGGGGCCAGTAATTTGGGGAGTCTTTCCCTTAATAACGTACCTAGGAATTTACTAATCAATTATCTAGATTCTGGTCCTAACTTTGGTGAGTTAAGGGGTCTTATAAGCTTCACAGATTAAAAACAAAATCCTTCAGAAAAGAAATACAATACCTATTCTTAGAAATGCTTTCTGGAGCCAAGGAGGGCAGCAACACTGTAATCATAGCACTTTGGAGAATGAGGCAGGAGAATTGCTGGGAGTTTATGGACAGCCTGGGCTCCAGAATGAGGCATTGTAAAAGCCAGCAGCAGCCAAGCAGAAGGGGGCGTGGGATGGGGAGGGAAGATGGGGGAGAAAGAATACCTTCTGGAATCATAAACTTGTATGTTGCACAAAACCACCATCTACTTGAAGTGCTAGAATGTTCAGACCACCATGTATGATTTAACAGACACTTACAAGTGATAGCATTCTTATTTTTCTTTCTTTCTTCCTTTTTTTTCACTTTTTGAGACAGGGTTTCTCTGTGTAGCTTTGTAGACCAGGCTGGCCTTGAACTCACATAAATCCGCCTGCCTCTGCCTCCCAATTGCTGGAATTAAAGGCGTGAGCCTGGCTTCTTTTTTTTCCTTTTTCTTTCCTTTCATTCTTTCTCTCTCTCTTTCTTTTTTAAGTTTTATTATGTTTTCCTAAACAAATGTTCTATATTTAAGAATCCCAAGAGGCATAAGAGAGAGAGAGAGAGAGAGAGAGAGAGAGAGAGAGAGAGAGAGAGAGAGAGAGAGAGAGAGAATGGGTGAGCAGAGCTCAAGGTCCTAAAGAGACCTCGTGGTGACACTGTTCTTAAGTTACTAGGACATGGTGGATGCCCATCTTATTTATTTTGTCATTTCTGTTATCATCTGATACATAATGAAATGATTTAAAGAAAAGAATTACAATACAAGCAGCAACCATGACTATAAAATTTTGAAGTGAAAATAAGGGCGTTTATGGAATGAAACAACTGGTCGTTTCTCATTGTGCACTGGGATTTCTGTTCAAACCTGTTAAATAGGATAGTTAGAGGAACATGAGAAATGTTTAAATAGCAAAGAACGTAGGAAGAAGAAAGGAAGGGATGAAGGGAAAGAGGGAGGGAGGGAGGGAAGGAGAGATGAGGACGACAAAGAAAGACCAAAGCAGAAGGCTAGCTCTGGGGGTCATGTCGCCATTCTCCTAGCTTCTGGCCTGAGTGGCCACTAACATGTTAACAGGCTGGCTGGTCGGCTGGCGCCTGCTTTGCAAAAGAATCTACAGCCCCGAGGCCTGGAGCACTTTGCATGGTTCTGCCTAGGGTTCAAATCAAACTACAGGATTCCATCCTCGCAATGACAAGCAGTTGACTTCAGTTTCAAGATGCTTTTTTGTGACATTCCTTTCTTTCATAAAATCGATAGATCAATATTTACTTGAAGATAAAGTCAAGTACAAGATCCAGGTTTCCCCCAGGGAGGGGGTGGATTGGGTGTGGGTTGGGGGTAGGGTGCAGTCTGCTCTTTCTAAGTTGGGAAACTTCAGTCCAGGTTCTGCTCTGTCAATCTTGGCTTTTCTTTTGGTAATTCCTTTCTTTTTCAGGATGGCTGAAAACAACACTCTAGGCTTTATCATGAAGTGGGTTTCTAACTCTGAATTAAAAGCAAAGCACTCTGATATCTGAAAGCCAGGAGTCTAATGGTGATGCCTCTGAGTCCCTTTATTACCCCAACCCCTATAATCTCTTTGTTTTAACCCAGTCTACACAAGAATGGTAGCAGAACTGCCCAGTTAACATGTCAAAAAATCCCTACCTCAGATAAGAATCTCTTCGGGTCTACTCTGAGCAAAAATATTTAAAACCCAAAGCAACCATTTAGATGTTGTTTATTTTGATGGCCCGACAGATTTCTTTGTTTTGTAAAATGCTGCAAGCCCAGTTTTTGACTTCTTGGGGGGAGGGAGTTTTGTTCTAGTATCCTATCATTATTTGCTCCAAAACTTCATATCTTTTGTTTGAACCATCTAAAAATAAAAGTAGTTGTTTAACTAATTTTCTCATGAGCTTAATTTGGCAATTATCAAATCACATTTGTCAATACAACGACTGAATCAAATGTGACCCAGAATGCAACTCTTTAAAAAGCTTCTGTAGCCTTTTCTATTATTTCAATGTATAGTAGCTACAAGAAAAAGCCTTGATTGGATCAATAAGAAATAAAAATGCACTCTCCTCTGTCATTTCAAAGTCATCCATTACAACAACTCAAATATAAAATTCAACTGCATTGGAATACAAATAGAACTGCATAATGAGGCTTATGTTTAGAAATGAAAACAGCATTTTGAAAGTATTTTAGGAAGTATTAATATAATTCCAGCTATTAATTTTTTGATTTTCATTCTTGAATGTGTAGATGCTATAAAAATGATGCTAAAATTTATAATGCTTCCTTGTCCTCCCTATCTTCTCCCTCCCTCCCTCCGTCTCTTCCTCCTTTTTCATTCTGGTACTGCCACCCCTTACTGTAGAGTGATGCACTTCAGGGAACTAGAGTTCCCCTTCCCACCCATCTCAGACATGCACAGCTGATGTGAATATTGAAATGATATAGATAACTCAGGAAGAGAAACTTTGTAAGATTTATTTGCTGGTAAATCTTGGTAAATATGGGGCACACTAATAATGATAGCTTATTCTCTTCAAAACATTATTTTTAAAAACCAATTAATGTTATGGTGTGGTTTAGAATAATGCTTTTTTTTAAATAACCATTGAGCAGGTACTGTAGTGCAGTATTACAACGCTATCCCTAATGACCTAAGCTACTAGAGATGTCAAAGACAGTTAACTAAATGAACTTAGCTTTGCCTTAATTATTCCTTAACTACTTCCCAAGAAAATACCATTGAAATCTTAGCAATAGTTGTATATGTTAAAATTTGCAATTGTTGCAGGAGCTCTGCATCTTCTAGATCTTGGTATCATATCCTATGTACAGAAAGTGACATCTACTGGAGAAAGGAGAAGAGAATATTTACTTTCCAAACTTTTTTTTTCCCTGCCAAACTTCCAGACAAGTTGCAGTATCCTCAAAACTCATACAACAAAGAATTTTATTTGGCTCACTGTGGTAAAGCCTTATTTTCCTGTGTTATCATCTTCTCAGTCATGTCCATTAGGAAATAATAGTTAGGGGCTCCCACAATTATCTCCTAAAAAGTCCTATTGAAGTCTTGGAAACACAGCTAGGAAATAGTTCCTTCAAAGACACTGAAGTTTTAGATAATTCATTGAGTTATCTAACAATTAGTCCCAAAACATGTTTAGAAAATATATAACTTCTCCAAGTGGTCAGGAATTGAGAGTTGTAAAACCACATTTGAAATATGAATATATGATTTTTCTGTGATGGGTCCTCCTCCGAGTTATTTTGTAGTCTAGTAATTTTCATCAATTTATGCTAATTAGATGTGCAACTAACCCCAGGTCCTAGTTTGACATCTTGTCCCAGTCAATTGGGGACTGCTATTCAGACATTTTCCCTTTGTTGTTAGGTCTACAAAGTGACCTAGGCAATGAAAGACTTAAACAACACCACTTTCACGCTTGAGACATCCTCCATTTGAGTAATCACCTTCTACGGTGGCCCAAAGTCCTGGTCTTCATAGAAGTTATTGGTATAGTTATGCTGCAGGCTTGACGAAGTCAGGCAAGCTGCATCCTGCTAGAGTGTAGACTTCAGCACGGACAGATGGTGTTATGCCCTCTGCTGTGGCCTGGTACATTGAAGGTCTTTCTAAGGTTGCCTCCATATCGAGGTTATGCCTCTGCAGGTCAGCATCTTCTTTCCAACCCTGCTTGGCAATGAGTTTTAAAAATGGCATTTCTTTCTATTGTTTTCTTCTTCTTTTTTTTTTTTTTTGTAATAGTGCTCTTGCACTCCCTCTGCTGGTCTTGTTAATTAACAAAGTCAGCCTCTGGGAAGTCTAGTGAAAGAGTGATGCCAGAGGACTGTTGAAGACTATTGAGGAGAAGGACTGAAGAAAACTCTGAGGAGGACTGCTGAGTAGGGTTAGTGAAGGCTGGCCAGCTCTTTGTCAGAAATTCATGTTGCTTGGCCTCCAGATGAAGCAAAGACGAACAAAGAAAATTTGCTTATAGTTGGTTAAAAAAAAAAACAAGTATGCACCGTTTTTATCTCTTGAAGAAAGAATGCTACGAAACGGACATTTTCACACGTACCAAAAAAGTCATTCTCTCCCCCCTCAAACAGTGGAGCTGGTTACTCATGTTCTTTTCAATTGTATGTATAATTAATAAGATGTGGGAAGATATGGTGCACCGATTTTGTATTGGGATATTTACACCCAGGGAGGTTAAATGGAAAGTTGTTTTTCATTGATGGAGGAATTCTTGTGTTAGAGATACAGCTGCCCAGTGGCTCCACTCCCACGACTTAGACTTCCCTTATAGAGTTGCAAAGAGAGTGACAGCTCTTGGCAAAGCCCAGGCCTAATCACAGCTCAGAGAAATGACTTTTGGAAGGTACATTACCAAGCAATTAGGAGCCATTTAATAAATTACCCCTTGCGGAACACTTTGAACCCTAGTGGTCTGAAGAGGTTAATGCACCTCTCTCAACGGAGTGTTACTACTCGCTTTCCCGGGGGTAACACCAAGGCCACAGCTCAACCAGCCCCCTTCTCCTCAATGGCCTCTCACTCTTGAACCACTTCCCTAGTTGGTATCCAAGGCCCACGCACTTGCACTCCCCCCTCTACAGGTCACATGTGACATTTTCTTCCTGCGAATTCATTGGGCGCGTGGCTCATGGTGCCAGAAGACTTTGCGTTGAGGTTAACCGTAGCCCTGTGGGAGTCCTGCGGCTTATTTGTGAGGCTGTGTTTCTTATTTATAGAGAATTTGACTTCTGAGTTTCCTTTAAATGTTACATATGATGCAATTTCCCTTCTTCTGAAATTGTTGAGCAGCAACCACTTTCTAAATGGATCCAGTATTCGGAATTAAATTTTAGGACGCTATATTTGGAAAACATCCATGGTAGGTAGCTTATAAAAATATTTATAAGCTAAAATTTTTACTATGGCCAGCCACCAAAAAAAAAAAAAAAAAAAGAATATCCAAGAAAGCGCGTGTGGGGGAAGCTGTGTTGGATACTAGACCATAATTAGATTTTTTAAAAAAGGTTTCAGATTTAATTTAAATTCAACTTGAAATGTTTGGAACAAAAATGATTTGGGCCCATCAATCTTCTTTATTTTAAAAGGTATTCAAAGAATGGAATTAAGTGAGAGAGAAATTCAAAAATACTCTTGAGTCTCCAGGAAGGCCGGTACTAAACTAGACCTTTGGATGGTGGGCTGAAGGATGGTCCCATGACCATGACCAACTAGGTATTGAGTGCTGATCCTATCCGAGACACTGCTACCAACACCACAGGAGATGAGTAAGACCTGGTGTAGGGCTCTGAGAAGTTCATAGTTGTATGGCTGAGTTAGGATTTATTTGTGGGAAACAGCAGTGAGTGGAAATTACTGAAGGAAAAGGAATCTTCTCAGGAAGGCTTGGTGGAGACATGGCATTTCCTGGAGCTCCTGCTGAGGATCTGATAAGAAAAGCAGAAAAAAAACAATAAGTGTAATATTCCAACACTAAGGAATCAATGTTACCTTTTTCTTAAAAAAAACAAAAACTTCGAAACAGCATCTCATTCTATATCCTAGGCTGGCCCTGAACTCTTGAGCCTCAGTCTTCATACATTCCAGAGTATGAGGGTCACCGGTGTGTATGTTTCATCATGCCCCAGGACTATTGTTTTTTGTTGTTGCTGTTTGTTTGTTTCTACCAAGGGGACCTCATGCTAGGCAAGTGCCCTGCCTCTGAGCTATCTGTCACTGTTATCTCTTTTTGTCCTTTGATAGTTTCCCATTTTATACAACATGTTTGGGTCATACTCATCTTCCTCTTCAGTTTTTCCCAGAAAATCCCCTCATTCACTACCCACCTAATCTTTGTGCCCCCCCAACCCCTGTTTCAAGACCAATTTGTACTGCCCAAATATTCCTGGATGTGTGTTCTCCCACTGGAGTGTGGTCTAGTTACTGGGGGCTACACTCTTAGAGATCACTGTCTCTCCTTTTCCAGGCAGCTGCTCACTCCATGGCTAGCTTGGGATTGTGTGCTCAGCTCCTTCTTCATGCTGGCTGGCATTGGTCTGGGTTGTGTTTGTACAGGGTTTGTACATGCTGCTGCAATCACTGTGTGTTCATACATGCAACCGCCCTGCTGTGTCCAAAGGAGGTTTCCTCCTAATCATCAGCTTTCTCTGGCCCTTATATTCTTTCTGCTCACTCATATGTAAGGATTTGAGGTTTTGGAGGTGGGATGGAGTATATACAATCTCTTTAGGGCTGAACATTCTTTTCTTTTTCTTCCGTTTTAATTGAAAATAAATTCTCTCATACAATACAACCCCACAATCATTTCCCCTCCTGCCACTCCTCCCAGTTCCTTCTCCCCCAATTCATATCCCATTTGTCTCCCCTCAGAAAAGAACAAGCCTCCAAAAGACAACAATTAAACACAATTAAACAAAATATAACCAGACAAGGCAAAATCCCTCACACCAAGGCTGGACAAAGAAATCCAACAGGAGGAAAAGAGACCCAAGATCATGCAAAAGAGTCAAAAACACATTTACTCCCATAGCAGTTAGGAGTTTCACAAAGACACCAAGGTAACAGGCACAACATACACAGAGAACCTGGTGCAGACCCATGCAGACTCCATGCTTGCCACTTCAGTCTTTGTGAGCCTATATGCACCCTGCTTAGTTAATTCAGTGGGTCATGTTTTCCTGGTGTCTTCTATCCCCTCTGACTCCTACAGTCTTTCCTCCCCCTCTTATGCCAGATTCTCCAACACCTCAGGGGAAAGATCCAATGGAAACCTCTAATTTAGACTCTCTCTGGCTATTGTTTGTCTGTGTGTCTCTGTATTCACTCTAGTCTGCTGCCAGAGGAAGCCTTTCTGATGATGACTGGACAAGGCACTGATGAAAGTTATAGCAGAGTATCATTCATTGATTCTTTTTTAAAGATGAGTACTGTTTGATTCTATCCCAGTCTCTGGTTCCTGGCCATCGGAGAAATGTCAAGCGTGGGTTCCTTCTCATGGAGTGGGCTTCAAATTAAAATTGACATTGGTTGGCCCCTCCCTCAAGTCCCAAGTGACCATTGCCCCAGCACATCTTACTAGCAGGACAGATTGTAAGGCAAAAGTTCTATAGGTGGGTTGGTGTCCATATTTCTCTTTTGGTAGCCTGCAGAGCATCTCTCTGCTCCAAAGAGACTAGAACATAAGGGTGAAGGCTCCATGTAGGCACTGGTTGAATGGACCCCTCTATAATTTATGAGCTGTCCTCAGCAATGGGGCCCCACTGCCTGTTTTCAGAGAGTGTCCATCTGTCCTGGTGACAGCTTGAGCTGTTTGGGGATCTCCACAGGACATTCTTAATTCTCTGCACTTTAGTTGTGGTCCCTGTGTTAATTATCATCTATATGCAAATAGAAACTTCTCAGATGAAGGTTAAATGATGCACTGATCTGAGTATGTCAGCATTTCCTTTAGTCGTGGCTGTGAACATTCTATGAATTAGATTTGGGAGGCATGTTATATATATATGTATATATGTGTATATGTGTATGTGTATATGTGAATGCAGGTGCAACAAAACCAGAAGAGGGAGTCAGATTCATGGAGCTGGAGCTACAGGTGGTTGTGAGTGCTGGAAACTGAGCTCCAGTTTTCTGCAAGAGCAGTGTATGGTCTTAACCACTGAACCCTCTCTCCAGCTCCAGGAGGTTGAACTTTGTCTTTGATACACACAGGAAAAGACATAAATGTCAAAGACATCTTTGGTCAAATGTAACAGAATGTGGAAAGCATTCCTCTTGTCAAGTTCACAATGAGGATACATTGTCAAGTTTTTTTCTTAATAAGTGTAGCTATAAAATGCCAAGATACTCTTTTCCCTAGAGAAAAGTTAGTGCTTCACCAGATGAGTCACACCTTTTCATTTCAGCTTTTTTCACCCTACCTTGGAGATTTTCCATATCAGAAACTGCAGTTTCTAGATGCCATGAGCAATGAAACCCCTGTTTGGAAACCTAGCTGCTAGCAAAATCTTTGGTCCTTTGCAAGGTTGTGAAATTTGAGTCCTTTGCATCTGTGTTGTGGGGCTTGGTGATTCCTATCAAAAAATTTAAAAACATGCAGGCCAGAAATTTGACATTTTTCTCTTACCACATTGCATTTTTGAAGGTTCATGAAAAGAGCTGAACATATTATGATATCTTGGGTGCAGAATGTCAGTGGGTGTGGCACTCCTTGTTGTGACTTAAAACACACCTCGACTTTCACAGCAGAGTTACAATTCGAAAGTGTTTCACGTTGGGCATGGTGGTGCTTGTCTTTAATTCTAGCACTGGAAAGGCAGAGGCAGGAGTATCTCTATGAGTTCCAGGCTAACCTGGTCTATATAGTGAGTTCAAGGCCAGCTAGGGCTATCCAGTGAGAACCTGACTCAGGTAAAAAACAAATAAAAAATTCTAGCCTTGAGCTAGAGAAATGGCTTAGTGGCTAAGGGCATATGTTAGACTTATTGAAGATCCATGTTCAATTACCAGCATGTGTAACTGGAAGCTCACAGATGCCTGTAATCCCAGCTCAAGGGGCTCGGAAGTCTTTGTGATACCTGTATCAATATGTACACACCCATGCATACACATAAACATCAGTAAAAACAAAATAATTTCAGTTTTATATATTTTTGGTTGGGATCCTAGCCTTTAACAGTTGAGCCACCTTTCCAGATCATGTTTTTAAAGTGTCCCACTATTTTTGACTAGTGCTAAGTAAATATTTAAAAAATTGGTCCTGCACTTTGAGGTGTGGTGCTGAGATTACACTGCTCTGCATCTCACTCTGAAGTACTTCCGTCTTGTCTCCTCTCTGTCTTTCTCTTCCTCTTCCCACCTCTCATATTTTTGCCACTTGCATTATCCACACACATGCCAGAGTAGAGTTACTAATACCAGCTGTACTTGGCATTATTCCACACACTCTGAGAGTTTACATTCTGGAATAAACAACAGTCTCTGAGGGATGAGTGTAGCGCAACCAGAAGGCACATTGTCGAGAGTGTTTTTCCATCTAGGATTACTAAGTATACCCAAGTCATCCATCAGTAGACGTTTACTGAAGTGGGGTACAGCATCTCAGACATACAGGACTCTTAAGAGAAAGTCACTTCTTCAAAGAACCTAGAGAGTAGCTACAGAAGGTCTGCCATTCAGGAAAAATAAGTAAATGTGAACACATTCTGTATTTTCACGCTAAGTAGTGTGGCACAAATTATTCATGCTGTAGGAGATAATGCAGGAAAATATGGGGACCCTCACAGTGTGGCTAGTGAGCTTGTGGAATGCAGAACTGAAAGTCTTACAAGTGTAAAATATATATGGTGTCTGAAGACAGTAAGACAAATGGAATGCAAAATATGACATTAATAGTTAAAAGTATTGGTCCAGATGTGTAACTTCGAGATAATGTCTGCTCTTAGCATGCACAAGATTCCTAGAATAATAAGTTCCTCCCCCAAATATAAAAATACTGATCACATGATGAAACTACATATTTTAGATCTAGAGGATTAAATAAAAATTTTAGTCGAATAAAATTCATATGACTGCAAGTTTTTAGCTTCAACCTGACTATTAAATTTAAAATGACAAGTGTGGTACCACATTATAGAACTTTTTTCGCCAGTGATGCTACAGATCTTCACAGAATGAACTTAGTGATTGTACTAATGGTCAGGAAGAGAAAAAGAGCAGGTAAGGTACAGCTGAGTCTGGGAGAACATACAGCTCCCAAACAAGCAAGCTCTGAGATATTACCTGTGTTCTTGAATAGGAAATTGTAGACAGAAGTTTCTGCCCTGAAATCCACTCCCAAGAAACCACAGGAGACTTAACATC